CTCAGGAGGCAACAGTACTGTTGACTTCTCCCTCCACTGGACACCAACTAACTATTTAAGTTGATTTGCATACAAAGCAGAGCTTGCAACATGATAGCTATTCATAAAGGGTGTTTTTTTACTTTTCATATAATACAGTAGTCACACAATGAGGCAGTTCATATTTGTCTCAGTGAATCATTAATTTTTGACAGACACCTGTACAAAATACTTGGACTAAAGCCAGCTAACATTTTCTGTTATCTTGCCTGTTTTATGAATCTATTCACATCTAAATGCAGCACTTTTTTTTCAATGAGACATTTGTTTTTATACTAAAATATCTGAATTACTTTGAAGAAAGCTGGAAATTATGTCCCTTAAAATTATTAAACAAATAAGCCACCAATGTTTTTGTAAGATATTTACATCTTTTAAGGACATTCAGTAGACTGATTCCCCACTGTTGCTTCAACCCCAAAACTTGTTTGTATTCAAAATTAATTATGACAATGCATATTTATATTGAAACAAACTATGATAAAGGGAATTATATTATATAACAAAGGGCAAGGTCACCAGAGTTTAACTATGTTTTTATCATTTTTCTACTCTGATTTGTCAATCTGTGTTTTTTTGTTTCTTCATATGTTTAAACACATTTATTTTGCTGTTGATTAATTTATTCATGTTTGGATATTATAATATGAATATAAATTATTCATTTTATCATTCATTCAGTTCAGGTAAAATTTTCAAAAATACGGCGACATACAACATAGAGTTAGTGATGCTAATTATCAGAAGTACTTTAATTGACATATTCGGAACACAGTTGCATAATAGTATAGTTTGCATCATATGATTTTACTAGGAATGTGCATCACATGTCAGTCTTGCATTAGATTGTCTATATACAGATCCAACAATGCATTGTAATTTATTTTGCTTTTATTGATACTCTACAGATCCCATCAACCCGGATTATGAAGCTACAAATAAAATGTATAATCATAATTTAGTTATGTTATTAAAATTAATCCAAAAACATGGAAAACGATACAATATGATTATAGCATCCCACAATGAAGAAAGTATAAATCTAGCTGTAAACAAGTAAGAACACGTTCACTTTCTTTATCATAATTGTAACTTGAATGTTGAAAATGTTACACCCGTCTTATTGTTTTCATATTTCGAATTTGAAATTAATGTATGTTTTAAGCACTAGTGTTCTTGAAGAGCTTCGTATGGTATCCATGCAATATACATTCATCATGTGATGTATCGAATTCATCCAATCAAAGCTTACGAATGATTATGTGATTTGTTAAATATATTTTTTCATATTACAGAATAAATGAACTTGGTATTGATAAGACGGATGGCACAGTTTGTTTTGGTCAGTTGTTAGGAATGTGTGATCAAGTATCCTATGCCTTAGGTAGGTTACATGTAGAATACATATTTGTTTTGTTTTTTGTGTGGTTATATGTGTGAAAACGTGTGTTTACATGCATGCCTACGAAGAACAAAGGAAATAAACAACTTGAGCCATTGTTATCAGTGGACCAGTGGTGAAGGTCAATTGTGTTTTGTAAAATAGCCAAATAACAGGCAAATCACATCAGCCTGGTGACGATTTCGGATTAATCTTTTCAGCCAATCATATGTGTCTCCTATGTGACCAATGAAATATAACGGTTAACATGGTCTTCTATAGGTATGTAACAAGGTCGACTACAAATACTATTATTGACCATGCTCATTATGAAAAGTTTAAAGTAATTTCATACAGGTTTCCATTTCCCCTAGTTTGTCATTTTAAGTTGTGGTGAGAGAATGATTAAGTACACACTACGACAACACCTGCAAGTTGTGGTCAAATTGTTTTTATTATGTTGTGTAATTATGTTGTGAAACAATTATATTGCATATCACTAGTTATTACTTTTTTTTAGCCAAAACTGTATTTTATGTGTATATTTTACCGCAAATTCAAACTAGGCATGACATTACTCAACAACTATGGATGTTCATGGTCAATTTGACTGACAAGCATAATAGGTCAGACAGGTGTGCTTATCACGAACATAATAATTTTGACTGACTAAACAGGGGAGAAATGCCCGACAATAACACTGTGAACAGGCGGGTTCAGTTTGTCGAACAATGTATTGAAGTTAAGGCAGATAGTGTGGACCTTATTACAGAAAACAAAACGTGCAATCACACATAAATGATGAGCTCCATATATCTGGCATATTGATATCTTGGCTTATACTAGTTTCTATATGTATCAACAATTGTTTGTGTCGCATTTCAGGTCAGAATGGTTATTTAGCATACAAGTCATTGCCAGTAGGAACAGTAGATGAAGTGATGCCATACCTAGCTAGAAGAGCGTCGGAAAATCGTTCAATCTTGGCTGGTGCTAAACGAGAAAGAAAACTATTATGGGGAGAACTGAAAAGGCGAATGTTGAAGATATGAACACATAATTATGTGAAATAAGCTGAAACGTCAACTGGCGCATTTTACGAGAAATAACTTACTTGTATAAAGGATATGTGTCATGATTCCACTTTGTACATGTAATGAACATTACACCTTATTTGACAGGTGTCAGAAATCATCAATTGAATCCATTCACACAATTCGAGGATTACTCAGGTTGTCAGAAAATGAAAATGATTTCATGATTTCCAACTCGGATCTGGGGGGTAATTATCGTTCCAGAAACACAGGCTGTATAGCTAAGAATTGTAATAACTAAACTGCGCATAGATGAATGTGCAAAGATCTAGGTTATCCCCTGCTACATTTACCCCATTTTATCACAGTGGCGAGACAGTGACTCGAGCGTGGTGAGAGGCGGGTGTGCCCTCAGTCCTGGGGCACTTGCCGATTTAGTGTTTTAATGCATAATGCCTATGTATTCTTAAGTATTTGCCTGTTATTTTATTTTCCGAATTTATAAAAATGTAAGCCAAGTTGTGTTATTTTTATCCAAGTCCTTATCTCTGATACACATGCCCATGGATTAAACAAAAATATTTGTTTAGTTATACGCTATAACGTTTTAAAAATTGGTAAGATCACTGAAGACTAATGAAATGTTTATTTCCGCTCCTTGGAAAATGTTTTAACAATATTTAAAGTAATATAGTGATTGTTTTTCAATTCGTTGGTGTACTGGGACTTAAAAACCATGTAAGATTTGTTTTATTGTAAGTCACATCCTTTGAAAATATTCCATAATGATGGTTTGCTGTGTAGCATAGTTGGGTATTGCATAGTTATGGATCATGTGTCGAGTTAAAATATACGATTAGTGATCTATTTCCCACTGTAAGTAAAATAATGTTATTGATAAATTAAATGTATCGTTTTGCAAATTTACACAATATGCCTTCAAAAAGGAAATTTTAATAAGCTACCAGCTGTACAATAAATGGGAACTTCGATTTGATTATCATCTTTTCTGATATAAACCAATTTCTCATCATTGGCTATTGTTGTTTTCGTCAAGTACTACTAATTTCTCCCATAGTGTGAACCACGTTTCTTCCACAGTGTTCATCTTAAGCAATGAGGTTAATCAGCTGACACGCTGTTAGTCAATGAATATTGTATCGGGGTAATTACTGATGACGACAGGGTGACGTTATAATTGATTGCCTGTCGTTGATCGATGTATATCAGTGTCATCTTTATATTTTTGACTTAATTTTACAACCCGTTTGCAAAATTGCTTTCTATTAGGCAAGTATGTACAATGACTGGTTCTGTTTTTTTTAACAAATCCTGATTTTCTATATTTAGCAAATACTATTGCCCAACACAATGCCATTTTCGCAATACTCTTGAAAACAACAAACTCACTCACTTAGATATTAGTAATGTGTAGGTATCATATTTGTTCGATGTAATATTTTAAAATTTGAAATATTTAATAAAATATATAATTTTGGTAAAAAATTATTTTTTGACTATTCTTGCAAATAGATTTTACGTGGCGTATGGTGAATTCAGTTGAATCATTGTGTTGTATACAGATTTCCCTATTTTTCGGTTATGATATAAAATTGCTATTTGAAATTTTATTAAAATGCGTAAAACATTGCGTACCATACAAGTACTCTATAGATTTTTTGTTCTCAGCATTGTTCATTTAAGAAAAGATATTTCCAAAACAGAAGACCCATTGCTCTATACGTCTAGCTATTCTTAGAAAAACGATTACGAGTATGGTGTACTACGTTCGTCAGTAAGCTACGTTACGGCACTTTACGTCAAAATTTCATGTATTTATTTTACTTTTGCCAATGTCATTATAATTAATCTGATGAATTCTTTATGGTAGAACTACAGTACACTGTTTAAGCTAGGTCGTGTGTTTTCTGACTTTCCACTAAAGAACTCAAAATATTATACACGTACGGGCAATATTATATGTTCATGGTTATGTAGGCGTAAAAGTCACAGAAAACAGCGAGTTACTCGAATAACAGAGCAAAATATTAAATTCTTTGACTCTCTGTCTGTCGAGATTCAAATAAAGTTCCAAATAAATCAAAGCTTATAAACTATAAAAGTAAAGTATTAAATGAAAATCAAGCAAATACGCGTTGAAAATATTCGTTGTAGCGATGTACGAATTATCATAGTCATGGAAAACAACTCGTAAGTGTATTTTCGATAAATCCATGGAAAGTTATAGTAATGCAGAAAACGAATGCCATAAACCAATTCAAAAGGTTCAGCAACTGGTACAATGGATAATGATAAATTATGAGTTCCTATTAATGCGATTACATATTGTCCTCACATTATGCACCAGTTAGTTGCAATAATTTGCCATATAACTCGTATTACCCGTCCTCGTAACGCTAAGAGAAACCCGGTTATCGAGCCATGCAATAATTTTCTATATCACACCAGGCCCTGTTTGAGCATATTTGGACAAACATATTTCTTTCGTAGAGAGGCGCGCACTCCGAACTGGTTTCAGTCGGTTACCGGTGCCGGTGTTGCCGGGGGTGACATTCTTAGCAAGTCTGTATTGATCTTGACACAATTTTGCCTTTATGTTGTAGGATTGCCTTTATAAAACATAGATAATATTATCTATATGACTAGCTTTCGGACACTGGAAGATATTTAGGGCTGAAATCTAACCACATTTAAGGTAGAGATGCAGTTTATTTGTGAATTTCAATCAAAAATAGTTTTTTTCGTTTTTTATATAGATTTGTATCTAAAGAACATTCTGTGAAAATTTGACCAATGAATTCTTATTGGAACACCGTTAAAATTGCTGTTTATTTCCTGGTTAAAAATAAAAAACACTCGCACATGGCAATGTTTATGTCCAATTGCCTAATTTGCATGAGTAACCAAATAACAGGACCTTTGATTGACAATATGCAAATCGAGATTGTACGGGTCATAGTTCATTCAATTCACGCGCATATGCAATTATTCTCAAATCAGGTCTCGCTCGCTAGCAAACCAAACATTATATTTCCTCAGCGTTTT